AGGATATCAGAATTTTGGTTTAATTATGGGTTAATGTACTTTCTTTTTTATTGAAGTGTTCGGTATTATGATGATGTTTGGTATTCTGATATTTAATGTGGTTCTTAATATTGTTTTTTTATTAAAGTGTTGATGAAATATATGGTATTGTTTATGTCACATAATAGTATAAGTTTGTGTCATATGCGATTTAAATAAGAATTATAGCTGTCCGTAAAAAAATAAAAAACTTCCAATCGTTATTTAATTTTGTTATTATTGTTTTGTTGTTTATTAAGTGTTATTGAAGTTGATGCAATTTTGTGGATATATATTTATCTGAAATAAATCAATACATTGTATTTGCTATGTATTATTGTTAACGCAAAATTAATGTGAATTGTGAAGAGTGTTTATCTTAATGTGAAGGGTTTTATACATAACTCTTGAAATTAATGTGTATGTACATCATTAGTTCGTATATCAAGCTATCCAAATTTCGTCCATCCTTAAATCATGGGTGATTATCCAAATCCATGGTTTAGCACTGTTCCTAAAAAAGTTATAAGAAATTATAAATGTAATTAATTATATTGTGATTATGGTTTGGCAATGGAATCTAGGTCTCGATGAAATTCTAAGCGTTCTTAAATAATGGTTAAATTATGGATCAGTATTTGCGCTATTACCATTCTATAGGCAAATCGATGGTTTGACAATGAAATTATTGATCATAGCAGGCTTTGAACAATTATAATTATGGACAATGGTTAGGCAACGAATTCCACACAATTTGTTAGACAAATTTTTAACGATGCCAAACTATAATATTAATAAAACATGGAGTGGCTTAATTTCTCTTTGAGTTTATATCAGCAAAGTTATCGAACTATAATTTTAGTGAAAAAATTGAAGTGGCTCGATGTCTGTCCCAGATGAAAATTTTAGTATTAGTTTATAAACGATGATGTTTATCATTTGCATTGTGATAAACCATTTGTTGTGCTGTAATTTATTCAATATGTCAAAGCCATGGTTTTTAAATCATGGTATTTTATGCGGATAAATTGTATCAAACAAGCTACCAAACTTATCATGCAGCCTGATGGGTTAATACACTTACTTTTTCATCGATATGTTCAGTATTTTGATCATGTTTTGTGTTCTGATTTTTAATATTATTCTTAATAGTTTTAGTCTGTTGATATCGTGTTTTGTAGCTTTACAATTGTTCCTCTTTGATGCATTGGATTTGTACTATTAATAATTTTATAGGTGCATTCTGTTGACGCTGCAAATACTTATAGATATATATTTATTCAAAATTGATTGATGCATTTTATTGTTATGTGATACTTTCAATGTGATATTACTGTTAATGGTCAGGATATTAGAATTTTGGTTTAATTATGGGTTAATGTACTTTCTTTTTTATTGATGTGTTTGGTATTATGATGACGTTTGGTATTCTGCTATTTATGTCGTTCTTAATGTAGTGTTCTCATTAAAGTGTTGATGAAATAAATGGTATTGTTTATGTCACATAATAATATAAGTTTGTGTCAAATGCAATTTAAATAAGAATTATAGCCGTCCACATAAAAAAATAAAAAAATTACCTTAACCCAAACAAACTTTCTTACTTGCTTTTTGCAAACCCAGTACCTCTATTCATCACGTCCCTTCTGCTCGCTAGGTCGACATCCCACGACCACCTAGTTGTAGGTGGAGTATAGGGAGGTTGGTTCTCGAAAGGACAAACAATAACGATTCAAGTTCCTGGCAAGTTTCCATACCAAAGTAATGGGGCCGTCCCTTGGAAAGATGACTGTAAAGTAATAGCCCAAGGTCATGATTCAACAAAAGGTTGATCCCAAAATCACCCATGGAACATCGCTAAGGCTGCAACATAGATCTCGGGTGTAGATGTTATACCCCGGAGTCTTTAGAAAGACGGAGAAGGGAAAGACAAAAGAAGGAGAGGAGCTACACCCAAACCCGGAAAGAGCCAAGATCGTCCGCTGTTCATAGGACCTAGTTTTTCTTTCCCTGGCATTCGAGAACAGTCAGATCGGTAAGAAAGTAAAAAAAAAAGTCGACATAGGATCAGTCAAGCAGTCTTAGAGCCTATGATTGCAAACGAGATGGCATGAGCTTCTTCAATGCCACAGCTGATTCAATTCCAGCAAACCTTCCACCAGCAGTTCAGCAGATTCTAGGCATTCATCTTTAGCTGTTACTTTTACAACGATTATTTCCGGATATTCACAAAAAGAAAGAGCTTTTTCTTGAACAAGCCGGCTAACTCTCAATTGAATAATCGAAGAGAGATGGGATCCTAGCGTAGAAAAGAGATCAAAGGAAGAGAGCGGACATGATCAATAGTAGTAAAGAACTAGAGATGGTACCACTGACTTGACTGTTGATGACGAAAAAGACTTTTTGAAACGTATCCGATTTGAATGGCTGTCTATGAAGGGAAATTGACTTGATACCAAAAATCCTGAGAAAACGCTTAAATGTCACATTTTGATGTCTCGTAGGAAAAGAAATCTGATCTATGCCAAAATTCCCGGGAAAATCAAAGTGTCGATTTCACTTATTAGGAGTAGGAAAAGGCCCCTCGAAGGCATGGAATAATAGCTTTGACGGAGGAAGTCACTTATTATAATAGTTTCTGTTAGAGAAGAAATTCCTGCTTTGGTTGAATTCAATCAAAAATACCACTTTCAATTGAATCAGGAATCCCTTCTTCTATCAATTTCCTAAGAGAAGATAGAAGGGATTGTATGCTAGATTCAAGGTATGCCTAACAGTATGCCAGTTGATTGATTCTACTCCACTTTCCAGATTGGGTTAGTGTTACATCTATCATGGGTGTCTCTTATATAAGAGAAAGTCACTCTAGTGGTCTGCCCCTGTAACTCGAGAAAGAATAAGAGAAGAAAGATTGGACAACTTTCAAAGGCTAGAAGGAAGGGAATGACCTGGTAGTTGGAGTATGAATTCTTATTGTTTTCGTATCTGGTGTTCTGTTTGAAATTTAATTACTAACTGCTGCTATTGACTCAGCTGCTAATCTTTTAGCCTTAAGGCTTAGAACTGAATGAGCTCTTATCAATACAGGGCGCAAGAGGAATTCCTTGAAGGTAGTACTAAAGGGGTGGGGCGGTGTTAGCGACGAATGGATTGTTTGCAAGAGAAGGTTGCATAGTTAAGATACGAACAGGAGGCATGTCATGTTTAGTAGAAGAAAAGAAGGGACAAAGAAAAGGAAGAGGAGACCGAAGGGTGAATGTTAACGAACTGAGATTTTTCAAAATATTGAAAATCGGATAGATAGGTATTAATGGTGGTTTACCTCGTGTAGACAGCTGGCATGGGCCATGGTATCAGGAGGAAAGCTACTGGATCATCCAAGGGTCTAAACCCACAAGTATTTTTAATAAGGAAAACCGAGCTGTTGATTTATCCAATTCAAAGAGATCAGCTTCAGCCTATAGATCTTGAAAACATGTCTGAGGATAAAGATCAAGCTAGCCCTTCCATTCATATGATAGGGATAGGGAGATGAAGACCCTCTTGACGAAGATCCAAAGATTCCTAGGCTTACTATTACTATCTATCTCTGCAATCGCCAAGAGAAAGCTAGGGAGACCGTGGAAAATAGGACGGATAGTCGAGCTTTTAGGACGCTCGATCTCGATTGCTTCTAACTCTCTTATCTTCAAGAGTTAGACGATTATGGGGACTACTGGCTCACTTCGTTCGCTCCTCAACCTTCCTTACCTCCGAAAGCATAAGTAGAGTTATAGGAGATGCTGGTTGGTAATCTATTTGATTAATAGGCTCTCCATAGCATAGTTCAAGGACTAAGTGATTCTCACACCTACGTTTAGCAAGCAAGCTTTCAAAAGTAGAAAGAGGTTGATCGTTAACACTCAGCCTTTCCCCTTCTTGGCTAACTTAGTGAGTGACAAATAGACGAAACTCAAGGTTGAGATGTCCACCTGTCAATCCCGAAAAAGTGAGTCAATCTAAGATCACTGACATAAAGAGAAGTGGATGATAGGCAATCCGTGAATGAGATGATCCAACTGAACTTTGGAATCCAGTGTTGGTTCGGGGTGCATAGGTGGATAGTTTGATCAAAAGCAAATAAGAGTTGAAGACTTACTGAACGAAATGACCTGCTCTCCTGGGCCCACGTGTTTCACTTCGAAAAGTTTTGACTTTTACAATACCTTTTGAAAGACTTCATCCATTATGATTCTCACTAGCAGCTATGAGTTGCTATCGGCTTTCTTCCACTTCCCGGAAGACGCAGAATGGAATGATTGACAGTTTGACTTCCTTTTAGCTCCCGTTATCCATGACCTACTTGAATAACTGATAGTATAAAGGAAGCGGCAATCAAGGGCAATCAAGTGAGTTCAGACTTTCACGATCTACGCATTCTTTCGCATTACGCTTAGGTCGTGGATAGAATGAAGGCCTGCTTTCCTTGCAAAGCTGTTGTAATCTCGCGGGAGAACACGGGACCTCAGGGAAGTTAAGCTGGTGATAGGATTATGGACTTCGATAGGCCTATCTAGATATACATTCAAAAGAGGGNAAGGGCCATTTCGCCTAGTAGGAGTAATAGTCTTAGCATGTTAGCAATTTGAATTGGACAGCTTTCGCTTTCTATCTAAGCTGGAATGTAGCCTTTCACTAATAGACATCGTACATCTTAGCTAGGGAAGCTTCTTTGTCTAGCTAATCTTCGGGACTGTAAGCAAAGGATGTCACTATAACTAACCTTCCCAAGTAACAGTACCTAATTTGACCAATTTTGATTTTATAAGAAAACAAGGCGTTCCTCGACTAGCCTATTCCCAATTCCCAAGCCAACCAAACCAGGGAAGCTAGGTCCAACCATTACCCTTTTCGAGCAGCTCTTTCAACTGCCAATCAATCCCCAGAATAAAGCCAAGGTAGGGAAGGGATCGGATGGCCTGACTGGCTCAACTAATTAGTAGAGGAGGTTGCTTTAGCAACTCGACCACTCGGAAGAGGAACGAAGGTACTCAGCCTCCTGGGGCAAGTGGGAGCGACACACTGAATGAACCAACTCCAATGGAGCAGGATCAAGAAGAAGTGAAGCTACGTAAAAGTGAGCGTGGTAGAATCTCTCGTCGTCGATTTGAGATTGAGGGAGATCCGGGGAATCTTATTCTGTCACCCAAAACGACCACTCCTTCTGTCGGAAAAAGGACTTGCCCTATATTGAAATGAAATCGAAACGAATGGAACGCGACAGAGCACTCCCTATCATCAGGTAGTGCGCGCCATTCAGAACTATGATATCGTCTTCTAGTCTATTCGGCAGGTCCAAGTTGTTTTGGTCTTATAAGCTCAGGTTCTTGAGTTTTGGGAATTTCCTTCCATTGGCTGGTTCAAATTCAATACGGATGGTGCTTCCAAGAGGAACCTTTTCTTGCATGGTGCTGCAACGGGACATTCTGGTAAGTCGGGTGCTGGTGGCCTTCTCCGAGACTGTTCAGGAACATGGATCTATGGGTATACCTGCAAAATAGCTTTCTCTACGAGCCTACAAGCTTCACTTTGGTTTAGCTTCCAACTAAGGCTAAGGGAGTTGTTTCCCCGGGATTGAGTGAACGGGTTCCTCCTCCACCCGTACCACAAAAGCGCTAATTTATATCAAAAAGACCGGGAAAACGTGAATCTATCCCGAACATTTCCTAAAATACTGGATAAACTGACTCAGATCGGTCTCCCTCAATCGAGAGGCTCGCTTGCTTCACTTCAACTTCATAGAAGAGGGAAGGATCTATACACTAATAGGCGGCCTACTGGCGTACCTCGAAGTACTCCGGTATATACACCAGGGCAACTTTGAAAGACAAGTTAGCAACCGTACTGCTGGTATGAATTGAGTATTGCAGACTAGTGCTAAGCCCATAGCAACAAGACTGCTATTATCAGATAGCTAGGACTTATTATACAGCTCTTTAACACAAGGGAACGTATGGGGANCAGTCGTTATTTAATTTTGTTATTATTGTTATGTTGTTTATTAAGTGTTATTGAAGTTGATGCAATTTTGTGGATAGATATTTATCCGGGAGAGATCGATACATTGTATTTGCTATGTATTATCGTTAATGCAAAATTATTGTGAAGTGTGAAGAGTGTTTATCTGAATGTGAAAGATTTTATACATAACTTTTGAAATTAATGTGTTTGTTATATATATGTGGTTTTTTATGTTGTCATACACGATTAAGAGGAATAAGTAAAGGTAATTGAAAGTACATCATCAGATCATTGTTTCAAAAAAAAAAAAAAAAAAAAAAGGAAACAGTTTGCTGGCATAGTTCAAATATAGTACCTGTTACAGGTAATGTGATACCTTCAATTATTTTCATTTTTCTATTGTAATACTGCATATGTTGGGTTATGAATTCGTCTATAAAAGCTACTAATTTGCGTATAATAATATTATAGAATTGTAATAAAGAAATTGACGAACAACATTGTGGTGACGATTGTAAATCAGTAAGTTGTTTTCTAGAGTTTAAAATTACAGTTCCGAATAAAAAAATTCATCATACTATGAAATTGTGATAAGAAATATTTATAGTATGAATTAGATTATAAAATTGAATATCATCTTATTTATTTATAATTGTGATACACCGACATTTGCTTTAATTGTAAAATCTCCATTGGGTATCGTTATTTCTTTTATTGAATTGTATTAAGGATGAATTTCTTTTTGTAGGCAATTCATAACAATGTCTAATAATTTTCTTAAAGATATTGATGAATCAAGAGATGATTGGATAGTTACTGTCAGAGTATCTAGATTGTGGGAGTGTAGGAATTTCAGAATGTGTGACAAACTTATGAGCCTAGACATGATTTTGATTGATCAACAAGTATAAAATATACTCTGAAAATAATGTAAAGATTTTTATTTCCAATTTATACAGGTTTGTTGAATTTTGTGGTTTTCATTGGTTTTTTAGAATCAAGTTATGCATGGCTCGATACCAAAGAATAGGATTGCAAAGTTTAAAAATCAGCTTCATGAAGGGTCAATATATTTGATCAGACATATAAAAGTTATACCATCTGCTCCCTCTTACAGACCCATTGAGGGAAAATATCATATAAAATTTCTCATGATCACGACTGTACAAGAATTAAAAGAACCGAGGATTGTTATTTCGAGATATAAATTTGATTTTGCTGGTCTTCGTGATCTTCAGAATAGGACAAATGATACAAGGTTATTATCAAGTATAGTTAATTTGAATATTTGTATTTTAAATGCATGAGAAATATTTTTGTACATCAAATATGATAAATTATATGCAGATATCATTGGAGTTTTGAATGTAAAAGGAGAAATTGAAGAGATCAAATCAACAAAGACTAAAAAAAGAGACATCAGATTGCAGATGGCAAAGTAAGTTCTTTTGTTAATATTTTTACGTTCTTCTTCCACTTTAAATAATTTACACTGATATTAATTTTAGGGAAGTAGTTGACATTACGTTATGGGGAAAGTTTTCTGAATAAATAGGTGAAGATTTGCAATCAACGAGTACCAGCCCAATTGTCATAATAGTTACTTCAATGAATGTTAAAGATTTCCAAGGTAGTAAAAATATATTACATGGAATTAATATATTTTCAATTACTAATTTATGTTTTTTTCCATACAGGATGATTATATCTACATACAACCTCGACATCTAGAATTTATATAAATTTAGATATTGGGGAGGTGCATTCTCTATAGAAAGAGTATGTGTTTAAGAAATAGTTCTTTAAAGTAATTTCATAGATAGAATAACATTTAACATTTTATCTACTCTTTGTTATTTCAGAATGAAAATTCTGCTAGTAATTCAATTACAGAAAAAGATTCTAAATCAAGTTTCGATTGAGAAGGAAATGTTTGAGAGTAGAACATCACTGAAACATGTTACCAATCTCTTGTGGCATGATGTTGATGAGGTACAGTATTCACTCAAAACGTTAAACTAATTATTATAACATAGTTTGTGAACAAAAATTATAATTGTATAGGTGATGGAGTATACAATTAAGGCCAAGATAATCAAAGTTGATGTAGATATGGTTGGTGTTACAATTCCTGCACCTATTGCAAGAAGAAAATTCCTGATATTAATACCTAATTATATTGTGACAAATGCAACAAGGAATTGAAATCTCCTCAGACAAGGTATAGTATTGTTTATTTTTTAGTGTTTTTAATTATGTATTGTCAATGCAATAAGAGTATATTTAGTTCCATACATTTATTTGTAACAATGTTTAGTCAATGTTATAACAAGTACAAGGTAGAAATGAGAGTGTCGGATGGAACTGCCGAAGCAACTTTTATATTGTTTGATACAGTGATGCAGAGATTGGTTGGGTTATCATGTTCGCAATTGTTGAACAAACAAGGTAATGATCAAAAGAATATCCCAAAAGTTTTAAGCAAGCTATCTGGACAGATGTTCGTTTTTTAGATCAAGTTGAGAATTATGGACCTGAAGGAAGGATACAAATCTTATACTGTGACGAAACTTTTTTTGATTGATGAGAATCTTGAGGATGAATATAAATTGTGAGAATTGCAAAAGGTAGGGGTGAGCACGGGTAGCGGGTAGAACCGGAACCTGGGGTTAGAACCAAAACCAGAACCGGAACCTACTTAGAACCGGCAATGTGCGGGTAGGTTCCGGTTCCAATTTTTTGGAACCGACATTGTGCGGTTTCGGTTCCGGTTCTTGTTTGTGGAGGAACCGGAACCAAAACCTGGAAAAAGAACCTAAAAAGGGTACCCGGTTTGGAACCGATTTTGGAACCTATTTGGAACCTTTGGAACCTGTTTGGAACCTGTTTTGAAATCTGTTTTGAAACCTGGACTGCAATGAAATATTTGTGAAATGTGAATAATGGGGGGTTTCTATTATTTTACATATAAAAAAATTTTAAATAGAAAAAATTAAATTTTTAGAATAACCTAATTAAATAAATATACTAATACAATTATACTTATTACATATAAATTACACTATATTAAAAACTTTCATGTATTATAATATATTAATATTAAATTTTTCATTAATTAAGTGAATAATTGGAATTATGATCCAATTAAAAGTGTTTTAAATTTTTAATGTTATTAAAAGAACTATTTTTGAATAAAATAGTATATTTGATTGAATAATAATATATTTAGTTATTTACTTCAATTATCAAGTTCTAAGTATATCTATAGTAAATTAGCAATTAATTAATTATATATGATAGATTGATAAAAATTAATAAATTTAATTACTAGTTAAATATCATACTTAATCAATTATAAGTTTACATTATAGTTAAATGATTACTTAATTAATTATAATTTTATAACATTACTTAATTGATTTATAGTATAATTAATTATAGCATTACATTAATTGATTACTACTTAATTAATTGACTTATAAGTTATAATATTTAGTATATTACTTAATTATGACAAATAATTAGAAATTTAATTAATTATAGCATTACATTATAGATTTATAGTATAATTACTTAATCAATTATAACATTTCATTATAAACATTAGTACAAACTTAATTAAATGATTAAAAAATTAATTATTTAATTAATTATAGCATTACATTATAGATTTATAGTATAATTACTTAATCAATTATAACATTTCATTATAAACATTAGTACAAACTTAATTAAATGATTAAAAAATTAATTAATTATAATATTACGTTAAAGATTTATAATATGATTACTTAATTCACTATAACATTACATTATAGTATAATTACATAATTAATTATAACATTACTGCATTAGTGCATTACATAATTAAATGGTTACTTAATTGATTATGACATTATATTATATGGTGTGTTTGATTCAATATTTCTACCCATATTCCCAATTCTAATCCCCAAATATTGTTTGGAACATTATTTGAGAAATATTAGTGTATTTTTTAATTAATTTTAGACCCTTACGTTTATTAATTTCATTAAATACCCCCAGAAAAAAGTTTAAAAATTAGCAAAAATACCCCCACCTACCCATACTTGCCAGATTCCGGCAACCACCATCGGTGGTAGCCGAAATCTGTCGCAACGGCTTACACCAAGACCGTAAATGACCGGTTATTCACCGATCTGGCTGTCGCAAAGAAATGGTCGTCGTTGACGGTCAACGACGACCAAATCTTGGCCATCGTTGATCAACAACGACGGCCAAAGATGGACCTTTGAGGTAGTCTATGACCACATATCCGATCGGTTTGTGTTATAACGCAATTTTTCGGTCAAATTTCGGCAGTGGTGGCCGGAATCTGGCACTACGGGTGGTGGGGGTGTTTTTGTCATTCTACAAAATTTTTATATATTAGAGTATTTAATTAAATTAGCAAACCTAGGGGGTTTTTTAGAAATTTTTAAATTTTACCTCGTAATACTCGCCTATTCAACTACCCAATATTATTCCCAAAGTCCTATCCAAAATAATAAACCAAATGCACCCATAAATATTAGTAATTACTAATTTACTACATAAACATTAGCAATTTAGCATAATACTTAATTAAAGTATTAG